CAGTGAGAGACGAGCTGGTGGAGAATCAGGAGTAAGAACTGTTAGCCAACACAAGCTGCCTGGAAGCTGAATGTTAATGATGTGAAACCTGAAGCCTCGACGACTCGTTCTCAGCGGGTTTCATCAGAAAAACCAGATCCTGTCGGTGCAGAGCAACTTTTCAAAGCGTTCTTCAAACACTAAAAAGTTCCTGTATCTTTAATTTAATCTCACACTCTGTCTCCTTTATTAACTTAACTAATTGAATTATCCTTAATCCATTCATTATTGCTGTGATAACACGGTTTCAGTGGGTTTACCTCATCCGATGTTATCTTATTTAAACACTGTGAATGGGACGGAGGTGTGTGTGTGTGTGTGCGCGCTTTCCTCCGTAACAACAACACGTAGGTTTGTTCTGTGTTAAACAATGAAAAAACACATTATCAAGCCAATTACCACCTATTCAACTGCAGCCTGAGATTGAGTGTGTGTGTGTGTGTTGTCATGTATGTGTGAACCCTCTCAGCATCGATCATGGCTGACTGCAGGAGGCTCTAATCACCTCATTAATGGAGGGCTCGTCTCCGTTATCGTTAGTCGTTAGTCTCGTCGTCTGTTGATCAGCAGCCTCTCTGCAGATTTTAGCTTTTGTAGAATCAGATTTAAAAAAGCTCTTCTAAAAATACTGTCGAACCCACTGTAATACCTGATTATGGAGCTTCCACAATGATTTAATGTAACATATATTCTAGTAAAGTAAAGTTGACCAAGATCAATGCTTTTTGATCCGTCAGAAACCTTTTGGTCCTGATGTAAAGTCCTAAATGAGGTTTGTTTAGGAGTCAAACAGCATGTTTAGATTTCTCCAGTTCCACTAAACCACGCTGAAACGCTGTCCATCATGCAGATTTGTCGATGTGAAGGTGCATTCAATCTGAGCATCCACCTGTTGGTGTTTGTGTAAACTCTGCTCACACACACCTGCCTCTATAGGCCTTCCTGTGTGTTCACACACTGGTTGCAACACGTACGAATGCCGATCTAATCCACCTGCACACACACACACAGAACAAAACCTTCAGTGCAAATACATCTAAGCACACACTTCTCTATAGCCACATGTACACACACAGTTCTATTAATACTCTTTAATACCTCATTTCCGCTCAGCATGCCCCTCATTCTCTTGTCTTTGTTTAGTCACAGTCTTGACACTCGCCATCCTCTTTAAAGAATAACTCCAGATGTTTATTGTCATACATTGTTATTTCTGTAATTTCCGATTTCTCCTCAGACCTTTCTGATTTTTGTCGCCATACAGCAGTTAGCAAGAGAAACTCACATTTCATGACCCGCGGCACAAATAGCCCATAAAACTAAATGCGACAAAGAAACACTCAGAGACACACACCAATCTACTTTTATTTATTTCAATTATACAAAAGTTATTTGGTTTAAGACTAGGTACTTGAACCGGAACAGAGACGGTTCCGTCTGTCTTCTCATGTCTTTGTGAAGGAATAATGTCCGTAAAGACATAAGATATCCTTCCTTACAGTGCCTGAATCGGACCAAAAAGGCTGCCAGTACCCTAATTCAGCACAACCCTGAAGACAACATAACTCTTTTGCCCTTTTTAACGAGGACATTTTCAGTGCTGTTGTCTTAGCGTTAAGTCTAAAAAGAGACGCAGCATCGCTGTACACAGGGTTTTAGAAATACCAAAGTCCAGACACTGAACTTGCTGGAGGGGTTTTGGGGCATCAAAGTAGTTTTTCTTAGACAATTATTTCATGACTTTTTTTTGGAAAATACCTGTGAGCTGGCAGGTACGGCCGTGCTCACCAGAGCTGGTCATACTCAATAAGGAGTAAGGGAACTCGTTTCAGGCACTGCATACTCTATGTTCATGTTTTAAAACACGCTTTATGTCATCAGAGTTAGTATTTATTATGAAAATGAGTCTCTGAGGTCACGTATTCGTTCTCTGACAGCAGGTTTGATGTCTCATGTTTGCTTTAGATAAACTGCTCTCTGGTTCACAGCAGTCTCTCTGTGCAACTCCTAACTTTAATTTCCTGTTTAGATTAAAAGCATCAATGGAGGATCAAATCACTCTCTTTACATTTCTTTTTGTTGTCTTCTGTCACTTCTCTCTCTTACTGTAAATGTTTTGTGGCTTTGTTTTTGTCCTCGTATCCTCCTGTGTCCGCCCTCCTCTCTGTTTCTGTGTATTGGCTGTGGTCTAATGAGTTTGGTAGTAATAGTGAGGCACACACAGAGCTGACAGGTGAATGGACGCTTCCACAGAATGAAACACAATAGGAGCTAGATAATGACCTACCGGGAAAACTCTGGACAAAAGACATCGCAGGCCTCATTTATACAAATAACATGGTGTATTTGTCTAACTGTCTTATACACACACACACACACTCGTCATCTAAACCTATAATCTGAATCACACATGAGTCTGACACCTGCGTCATGAGACTTTCTCCTCCACTAAATACAAATGCCTTTTCAACATTTTCTGCATTTTTAAATCATCCTGTTATGGGAAGTCTTTCATTATTATTATAATATTATTTTCATTATCACTTCATCTGCAGACTCGAATATCAGTTTCTGATTCTGTCATTTTCCATTATAACCTCACAGAGCCAAGGTGACGGATTCAGTCTGGTTTTGTCCGAACAAGAGGTCCAAAGATATCCAGTTTACTACAGTATTAAAGATGAACTGTACTCTTCACTTAAACATGATTTTAGAGCTGTAAACTGATGCTTCTGTTAAAACTGATAAAATCAGCCTGAACCTTGTGAGTCCAGTGCTGACACTATAAATAACAGTCTGTAAGATCTTTGTGCTGTCATTAATGGACCAGTTGTTCAGCTCTTCTTTCAACCAGCGTTCTGAATATCAGTGATCCTGAACCTGGAGCTCTGCACCCCCACGAGGGTTGTGAGATGATTTCCAGAAAGGTAAATGAGAAGAAATCTTCCCTCTGCTGCAGCTTTTTATCGACACTGTTGAACTCTGTTGAGCCGAGTGACTGCAGTCAGCAGTGAATCATTGCTGTGGCTCATTTTAATGAAGCTAATCAAGGCTACAGTGGCTGTTAGCTGCAGGATTATTACTCCTTCCCCTTAATGCTCTGAATGGGAGCGCTGTGACAGAAATGCATTCATTTCCGTTGAGATTTTTTACTACCACTGCACTTCATTACGCTGCAGACGTATCGATGTGCATGAATGTGTGCATGAATGTGTGCGACGGTCACTTCCTGCATATATTTGTGAATGAAGCGAAGTTGTACACACATATTTAAAGTGACAGAATTTAGATATAAGTCAATGTTCTCACCGGTATAAATGAATGAGTTTTAAAGTAACTATTGAAGTGATTGTAGTAGATATAACTGAACATCTGCCAAGTTGGTCCAGACTAAAGGAGTCCTTCAGAAGGAGAACATTGGATCAGTCAGGTGTAGGAAGGGTTTGTGGTTGAAAATAGACCTGTCAGTCACCTGATGTACTTTGAATTAACTCAGAGAAGAAGAAGAGAGAAGACTGTACCTGCCAGTGAATCCTGTTTCTTTTTGGTTCTTTTTGGTTCTTGTCTTTTCTCATCCTGACTTCCCATAAGTGAAGTTCAGTCATCTCAAAGTGCTGCCACATTTAGCCGCAATGAGGCCGAACTGCACTCTAAAACATTGTTTACTGCCTTCTCAACTTCCTGTGAGTGTGAGAGAAAGTTTGTGTTCATTGTTCGACAGTTGGAGTTATCGATCAGTGCCAAAGTCTCAGTGTGCTCATTAGGAACGATCGTCAATCACACACACTCTCAGATGTACACACGGGCAAAGTGAGCGTGAGCAGTGATTTACACTAACAACTCACTCAATATATAATATCCCTGAATGCACGACTGTCCCCAGACACCCATCGCTCACTGAGTGTGTGTGTGTGTGTGTGTGTGTGTGTGTGTGTGTTCAGTATTAATACAGGTCCTAATGGAGGCCAATGGGAGCTGCAGTGTTCCCTCTGAAAATGATTTAATTACATTTGCAAAGTGGATGAGTCTGGAGGGAGTGTTTGCTGCGTCAGGGCTTTGGCACACACACACACAACCACACAC